GAGGCCGGTGCGTTATAAGCCCAGGCGGGGGGCAAGAGATGAGCGTTTTCTGTCATCAGTTGCGCCAAAACCTATTAATAGCCAAAACCATTACATCAGTGCCGCGAATGTTAAACAAATAAAAATGTGATTTATTTTGCCGTAAAATTAATTTTACAGACATTTCAATAAAATGGATTAACTGTATGTGTGTTCTGACAATTTGGCACTAAATGGATATTGCTATCAAAGTCACGATATTTTGTTTTTAAAGTATTAATAAGTTGTTGGAAACTTATTTAAGAAGTTATAAATACAAATTAAGTAATTCTTATGGAATCTAGAAATTTAATTATAATTGCAATTAAAGTGCAATTTTGAACAAAAATAATTAAAAACTATAAAAAAATTGCAAATTATTGCCAACTAGTCATAAAAAACTTATAAAAAGATACAACAAAAATCGATGTTAACCCTTATATAATATTTTATTGCAAACAAAAAAGATTCAGTTTATAGCAAAAAAGGAAAATTTCGATAAAAACTTTATTATAAAACTTAAGATTTATTGATATTTCATAAAATGTTTATAAAATTTCAATAAATCTAAAATAAATCACATTTTTATCAATTAATGGTTAAAGAACTCGTTTTCATAAAATAACTCATTTACTAATAATTAGTTCAAAAATTTGCAAAAATATTTATATAAGAAATGTAGCATAAAATGCATGCATATAATTAAAATTATTTATATTTATTGTTCGTTTAGTTATTAAAACAAAATTTTGGCTACAAATCAGATAAGTTTATGTAATTACTTATAAAACACGTCGAAATTAAATCTCAAATGCAATTTGCAAAAGCAGTGGAAAGGGAGGCAACTTCACTATTACTTAACAATATAATTATCGTATTTAATAATATGAATAATACAAAAATCAATAACAAGACATACCTCAGGATTCTTAGCGACAATATATGCCTCAACAGATGGATTAGTATTAGAGGAATGGGTGTCTATCATATGTCGCGATGGTTTAGGCGGCGGTTCGTCAGAACCTGAAGAACTCCAAGACATTGATTGAGTCTCTCTTCTATTATCACGTCTTTCTAATTGAGTTTTTTCTTCTAAATACACTTCATATAAAAGTTGTTTAATATCTTTAAAGACGGGCCTCTTTGAGGGCTCGTAGGCCCAGCACTGAGACATTAGACTATAAAGTCTTGGCGGACAGTTGATAGGGAGTGGGAGTCGTTCTCCGTTCTCAATCTTTCCGATCACATCATTGTTTTTGACGCCTTGAAAGGGTTTTGTTCCCAACATCAAGATCTCCCACAAACACACGGCAAACATCCAAACATCAGATGAAGTGGTGAAACGCCGGAAGTTGATTGATTCCGGTGCCATCCATTTGATCTGTTAAATGGTATTAATTTTATGATTAATAACTCATAAGACAAACAATTGTGAGCAACATTACCGGTAGTTTGCCTTTACTGGCCTTATAATAGCACTGGTCCTCAACCCAACGCGAGAGACCAAAGTCGGCTAATTTGACGCAATTATGCGACGAGACGAGTACATTGCGAGCGGCGATATCCCGGTGCACGAACTTCTTGCTCTCCAAATAAGACAAAGCAGTACTCAATTGGTAGGCGTAGAGCACAAGAGTCGCCAAATCGAGTCTATGCTTATTATTCTGGAGAAAAGCCCTCATCTCTCCGTGTTTGGCGAGTTCCATGACTATCCAAATGGGAGAGTCTGAACAGACCCCGATCAGTCTGATGATGTGCGGGTGCTCGAACTGCTGCATTATGTAGGCCTCCTCCAGAAACTTATCGCCCATTTGACCCTCGCTTTCAATTTTACACGTCTTCACGGCGACGGCTATTATTTGGTCGTCTTTCGTCTGATACGAGCCCTTATAGACATCACCGAACTGTCCCTCACCTATAATGTCATCCAGACTTAGCCTTAAACGACACAATTCGTAATCTTTTCCGGCGGGCGTTGAGTAGTCGCCGTCGTCTACTATTTCGGCGTAATCTTTGTCCCCGTTTTCAGTCGTTATTCGCTTTTTTTGATTTTGTTTTACTTTTTCTAACATTATATCTATTATCGAATCGATTGAAAAAACATTACATTAAAAAGACGAAAAAGAAAATATTTCAATACAAACAAATATTATCGAAAAAGCCAACAAAAAAGTTTTTAAAGTAAGAGTAAGTAAAGCAGAGACGACATCACCTTTTGGGCAATCATTGCAATTGCATTTCCATTTAGTGGTAAAGACTTGTAAAGAGAAACACGAGAAATAAATTTGCATTCAATCGATTAGCATATGATTAATGCAATCAATAAAAGTTTAGATTAAATAAAATATTTGAATAGTATTTGTTAGGAATAAAACATTAATTGAGTTTTTGTTATTTTGTTGGTTCAGGTGCTTAGTATAGGGTTTAGAAAAGAGCTGATAAAAAGTTTACAAATGTGTATAAAAGAGTATATAATTGTATAAAAAATGAATACCTTTTCGGATCCAAAAGGAATCGTCTGTATTGTTAACTAGACGACAGTATCCATCGATTAGATTCGCGATATTCTCAGCGATCGTGTTTGACGGACAAGAAATGGCCAACACTTCAGACGCGCCCGCAATCTTCAGCTGAAGGACTGATTTATTTGATTGGTTCAGAGGATTAGCGGCAGAATTGTTTGCATTGTTTTCGTTGACATTTGTGGTGATGTGAATGCTTTGAACGCTTTGGAATTGTGCCATTTGTGTGGGCTGGCAGTCAATTCATGGCAATGAAAGCAATGGTTATACACATTAGTTATATAAACAATGAGGGCATATGTGGATCATTTACCGGTCCTGTCCTGTCAGTGACATAACCGATACCAAAATCACAGCCAATGACTAACTGAACGGGAATACTCCAACCCGTCTAACAAAATCATTGAATAAAGAAATAATTGATTGGATTATGAGCTCAAATAGACACCTGATATGAGCGATGACTTACCCCTAACGCACATTTGAACTTCTCTTCCTTGAAGTTAACAAAAGGCTGAACCAAATCAAAGAATCTAATCATACAATCGATTTCACTCATTGCGGAAACTTTTTTGAATTGTGACTGAATTGCTTTCCGTAATGTTTTGTGCTGTCGATACAAACATACATTGCGATCAATTAACGCTTAATTTCATATTTGCTTGTTTCATGCATTCCGTGATTTACGCAAAACAAATGAATGCAAAGAATTTAGGGGTAAAAGAGAGATAAGAAAAGAGCGAAAAAGTTTTTGTGTGTGAAATGAATGAGTTTTGATGGAAACCTTGACGGATGAGAGGATGTGTGAGGGAAGGAATTTGTGAAGTCCTATGTCTTTCTCGAGATATTCAAAGTTGGATCTCTTGTCTAAAGCGAATTGTGTGATGTCTTTGAAGAAGCACTTGATCTCCAGACAGCATAACTGAATGGCCAGATCCTGGTCTACGGGCGCCTCTATCTTCAAGTAATCATTTTTAACCTAAAATCGTGTCAACCATTAGATGTAACACAAAGATTAGGGAAATTTTATTTTATAATTTAATAAAAACATGTAATTAATTGTAAAAAGAGTGGTATGTTGTCAGACCTGGTCGTACAAGTAGTGAAAAGTGAACCTGTCTTTCACCAGAATATCACTCAAAGTCGACGGAATATATCGTATTCGCAGTTCATATCTGTTGTGACAAAACGGGTCATAAGACATAAGAAACAACAACTTCTCAGATAAATCGCTTCATAAAGTAATTGCATTAAACGCTTAGACGCTTAGCATTTGCTAAACTTGAACTCAATTTGTTGTTCAAATTCATTTAAACAAAGGTATCAAAACATTAATCAAATTAGATTTCTTCGCATATTTTCTTTCAAATGCAATGAATTTCAAGTTTTTGTTTATATTTACGTAAATTACAGCGAATGAGAGACAGATATTTGCTGCAAAAAACTAAGTATCGCGTGAATGAGGTTTACTATCATATGATATAACTTTAATTTGATTTTTATTTCTTTCGGTAATTATACGAAAAAATATTTGCAAATAAACTGACAAAAGATAAGCCTCTTTGACAGTAAATACGATAAGAATCCTAGGTTTCTGTCAACAGTGTATTAATGCAATTAGAGTACAGAATCTGATGCTTACCTCCAGTCGGCGTCCAATAGGTTCTGGTGGTGATCGAGCGCCTCATTCATGGACGTCTCGGGATGTAACCAAAAGTGGTCATCACTGGTGCCGCCAATTCTGGCGATTCTGATGGCATACGCGCTCTCATAAAACCTTTTGCTTGAATCGGAAGACAATCGACTAGTGATGAGAGCGATGATCCCGCGGACGTCCGTCACATCCCCGGTCTTGACTACATTGTAATTGCCATTCGTTAGGAATACTTTGAATGTATTTCTCTCTAATCTCTCCATATTTGCTGCCATTTGTTGGTCGTCTGGAAACCAACAGTGTTTCGGAGAGCGAGTGATGATTGCATTGTCGTTATTATCGGTCGGAGTATTATCTGTGTTTGTAATGAAGTTTCCATTTTGCATCCTATTATCACACAAATTAATAGTCATTTAAATTAAAAACTTGACAAACATTTCGATAAAAAAGTCATAATTCATAGCATTTGCAGGACTCGTATTCCCACGCATTGAGTGAATGACTAAATAATTTCCTCATTATATATGGTTTCGCAAAAATTAAGAGTTATAGCCATTGAGAGAAAGTCACAGTAAAAGCCTGGATTACATTAGACTCACAAAAAATGGTAATAATAATTCATTGTTTGTTTTGAGCATTTGTTTGATGGAAACAATAATTTATTGAATTATGTTTTCGAAATGAGATTTTGTCAAAATATTATTAGTATAACACAATTGGCTATAATTTGTTATCTAATCTAATATTATGTTTACTATAATCGGAAGAACTCTATAAATCTAAACCACAAATAACTCAATAATTTTCATCAGTTTGTATATCAGAGGGAATGGCATCAAATATCAAACAAATAGTTTGTGTTCATTAGTTCAACAAAATATGTTTCAGTCAGTCATTCATTTAGGGAATTAAATTAAAAATAATATCAAAACAAACATATGGTTTTATATAAAAATTAATATTTTATTATACAGTAACTTTGTAATCAATAATATTTTTTAAAACATTTATCCATATCATTAATCAAGGGAATTAAAAGTTATATTGATAAAAATAATTGCCTAATTGATTTAAAAGTATTTTAAGTAAATTTAACTGTAGTACAATTTAATTTTAAAGTAATGTCTATTTATAATTTCTTATTTTCAATTATTCTCAATAAAGTTTCACTCAATTTAATTCTCAATGATATTTATGATCACTAGAATTTTCAATTTAATTAATTTTTTATAAGAAATCACATTTTAATTTAATAAATATTTTTATTTCTTAAATTGTTTCATTCGTTAATAAACCAAAGCATTAATCATATGTTCGCGAGAAAAACCTTAGAGTTATTGAAAAAATAAGGTTAGGACTGAAGTTTGGGAACGATTTCTGAATTAATAAACAGTTTTGATCGTTAAATAAATTAAGTTATTATAAGTTTGGTTACATTGAATTGTATTAAAAAAAGAATTACAAAATATAATAAAACACAAATCAATAAATTAAATGTGAACTCAACACAGAATTGCAGTGTATTTACAATAAAACAATTACTCCGAGAATTATTTTTTCAAAAGTACTGCAGAGATAAGCCATTAAAATGTGTTTCATTTCTTTGTCGTAATAATGTATAGCATAATAAGAAAATCAAATACAATTACAATTGTCATTATCTATAGAGGAAGTCTATATTTGAATCACAATTTTACGATTCAATTCAGTGTTTGAGATGTATTTAAAAGGATTTTAAATATATAATACGATTTGTCATCGCTTTAAATATACACACAAAGACTGCATTCAAGTTTGTTTGCAAACATCAATAAGAAAATATTTTTTCTATAATTAACTTCGAGCCGAGGTTTGACTTATTTTTATACACCTTTTTATTTATAAAATTAAAATGTAATCCAATTTTAATAGTTGGCCCAAAATTAATGATCACGTAAAAAACATGTAAAAAACAAATATTTGTATATAAATATATTGAACGATATACAGTATAACCAGAAAACTGATAAGTAAATCAAATGATCGCACAATGGAAATAGATTTGCACAATAAATTGCAAATATTAAATTGAAATTACAAACAAATTATCTCTCGGAGCCAATGGCCATAAAAACAATTAATATAAACAGAGTGCATTAATCATATTTACATAATTAATTCAAATTAATAGCACATACAGTGTGAGTAAAAAACATGGAATTGGATTATTAAGTTCTCAATTTTTGAAAGCTATGATAAAATAAATTTGTATCACAAAAATATGGAGAAATACATATTTGACATGGAAATAAGTGCTACCCTTTTCTTACATTATTATTACAAACATTATTATAAATGAAGGCCAGAGGGGCAAGAGTTACCGTACAATCAGATTTGGTTTACTCAGCCATTAAGTGAAGTATATGTTTGAGGTTTAAATCATAATAATTCATTGAATTCCTTAGTGTATTAAAAGACAATTTTTTTAAAGTTAATTATTCGATAAGAAAACTATTAAATATACTAATAATAAAGAGTCGGCAATAAATGGGAAAACATCGCTTAAAACACAAGTTTCGGTTAATAGTGGAGAGAAATATATATTCATTTGAATTACAAAAATCTATAAATTTTAAGTTCAAACACGAAACGCGAGGTTAAACTGGGAAACGAAATTTGAATTTACTGTTGAATTACATGTAATGTAAAGATTATAAGAAACATATTTCTTCTCTTGACATTTGGAAATATTATTCAAATTTAATTATAATTTTAAGCGCATTACAAGTTCATGCAATTGTCTTATGAGAAAATTAGACACAAAACTAAGATATTTTATGATTCAAAAGATAATTGATATAAACAATCAAATATACTGTATATAAATCGGATTAACGCAGACATTGGATAAGCAAATGAATGTATTTTTTACTCCCTTTCGATGACCTAAAGAAAGTCTTTGCGAATAAATCTAAATACAAGTAATTCTTGTGATTTAAACTTAAAACCAAAAAACACTTAATGACTAAACAGTTCTTTGCTCTGAATATGTGTTTTGTCCTAATTTTGTGAAGAATTTTATGAATATTCACTAAATATTTCATTTAATTAACTAATTATTCACTAATCGACTAAACGATCGCGAGACAAATCACGATTTTATGCTAATTATCGACTTCCAGGTAGTTTCTCAACGATTATATAATCGTTTCTAACCTCAAGACTTCGAAGAAGTAGTTGGGATCAACTGCCAGAGGATTCAATGGGTTTGCATTTTTGCCGTTCATTTTCAAGTACCAGAAGCTAGTGGTGGCCTTTTCATCACTCGAGTAGATCCCGGAGTTGAGGGACAGGGCGTACATAGAACTGAACGATCGCTGCAACTGATGGGAACACGTGAAGCAATTTAGGTTCAGTATAGGCATTGTGGACAGCCTTTCCCTTTTGACACTTTAACTTAATTAAGTAATCAACCGCTCGATTAAACGCAAATGTAATGAGAAAATCGGTTTAAAGAGTATATCAACGAAATGCACACATTTCTCGTCCATTGTCTTACAGTCAGACAAACAACACAAACAAATTTAAACCAAATATAGATTTATTAGCGAATAAAGTGGTGATGAATAAAATCACTCATAACTTGCAAAAGTGGTGAGAAATGAAAGCCGCAGGCGATTCGTATAATAAGAGAGAAATAAAACTGTTTTTCTCAACTAATTTCATATAAAACCCACTGTTTTTCGAAAATAGTTAACAAAATATATTGAAATCAAAATATAAGGCTTAATATTAACTGAATTGGAGAGCAGAGTGTGTGGTGGATGTGGTGTTCAGTATATTTTCAATCATTGAATCCAATGACTGAATGAATACACACGACAAGTGCTCCGCATATCATAACATACAGTAAGACAGGAGTGGAAAACCAGTTGTGGAGAACTCCCACATCTCTCACACATCTCTGACGGCATCCAAAACGCCACCAAAACAACCAAAACAACTCAAACCCAACTCTCAAACTCATTTCGTATGTAATATCTGTGTATGAAATGCAAGAGTTGTCTGTAAAAAGCAATCATTTCATTGAGTTTCTGGCCTTCAATCCAATTCAGTAGTGCTTCTCATCAGCACTTGATTTACACAACTAATAGACTCTCTATTTATCTGTCATTTTATTCTTTATAAGTCTCGAAACCATTAATTCGTTTCCAATACTGACAATTCTTGTAAAAACTAAGTGTTTAGTGTATATAAAAAGACACACATTTTCGGGTAAATATAAGAAAAACACAATAAATGCCAAAATATACATATGATTGCAGTTGTCTTGTCATGTCTCTCATTCACTTCTAAATGTCTTTCAGTTTCGCAGAAATACTAAATTTAAAGTTTCTCTAATGTCATTGAATTAGGATTTGTTGGGATCCACTCGTACAGCATTTCAGTGCAAAACACTTGGGATAAGTAGACGTTATCTAAACATTCATTAATTGTCCAAAATTGTGTTTAAAATGCAAAAAAAAACTATTATTAATTAATTGAAAAACAACTTTTAATTAACGAATAAGAATTTAAATAATGTTTGCAATAATTAATTAAATGTCTTTAAATGAGAACAGCATTTAAAATATAATACAAACACAAAAGATATGTTATATAATGTGATAATGTATGGGAAATATTGAAATGTCTGTGAGTTTAATGGCAAAAATTGAGGCAAAAATCCCAACGATTGCTGTCGTAAATAAAAACACAATAAATGTTGAGTTTTATTGCTATAATATTTGAGTGATTGATATAATCATCGCATAATTGCCAACAAATGCTAATTCAAGCAATAGTTGACGAAAACAGTGAGACTTCTCACCATTAGATCAATGACTCAATGATTGCATTCAATGTAATCACAAATCAATGCTCACATCATTTGCCCACAAAAACTCATTTCAATATATTTTTCGTACAAATTATAACCAAAAAAGTCAATAAAAATCATTACTTTTTTGAAATATATTCTTGAAGTGAATATAAAACTCAAAAAACAAAAACCAAGATCAATTTTTTGTTAAATCAAATCGTATTATAAATCAAAATATCAATCGCTTGGTAAAAATCTTATAAAAAATTTGTTTTATATATAAATAAATCAAAACTTTTTTGTTTGTTTTTCGGGTATTAATTGATTGACTTTTTTCATTTAGTAAACTCAATATAAAGTCAATTATTTGAGGGTTTAATTGAAGCGAAAAACAAATATTTTGGCAAAACTTTGATGATATTTGTGATACATTTTGGCTGCAAATCAAAAGTGATTTACAATTGAAATGAATGACAAAATAGCGATCATTTCCTAATTAAGAGTCAATGAAAATAAATAAATAAAAGTCTCGTAAATGACAGTCAAAGTCAATAACACTATAATATGATTGTT